TGAAAGCCAAAGGAAAACACAAACCCAGGGCTGCTCCTCGACCTCCTGCCAGATCGCTCGGTCTCCGGCCTCCGCTCTTTCCAACGAAGCCGCATCACCAACATTGTTCCTGACTGATTTCTCCTCTGAGGCTTTCCCCACCTTGATAGACTCTGCTTGTGTGCAGAAGGCTGCAGAAAGGAAGAAGCATTTGGGTTTTAGTACTTTTCTCTGAAGTCCTGTATGGACTTTGGGCATAAACAACATAAACTCTCTAGCCACAAACAAGGCCAACTCATGAGGCTTTAAGCAAACTCAAAGAAATGAAATTTAAAAGGTCAACGCTGTCAATTCCGGCTCTGAGGCGATAGTCACCCTCATGTTCTACTGCTCTTTTTCATACCTCATGAAACCCGGGGAAATGGGTGGAAGATGTGGAAATCCTCTCGCAAAAGCACCTGCCTGCTCCTTTCCTCTCCCCAGAGAGCCACTCGCAGAACATTCCATTATTTAGTTAATTGCAAAGAAACAATTATAAAGGAACTTGGCAAACAGACTCTAATCACGGCAAGACCCATTGCAGTTCAGTAAGTTCAGCAAATTAGCAAATAAGTGAATATAAAAAGAAAGGAACAACACAGCACACATTGCACTTTGTTCGTTTGTTTTGTCAGTCATCGTTTCTGTTTAATTATTTAAGATATTTCTTCATAACACTCTAGTACATTTTGTATAATAATGAAGGCTTACCAGCATGGATTTGCAATACTCAGCTTTTAAATATCTGCCGAGAGGAGGCTGAAAACTGCCAATTCCATGTATAAATTATAGAGAGTCTGTTCAGGAAAAAATTCCAGGTTAGACAAGTAGAATGCTTTGCCACAATTTGCCCAAGATACAAATAAGGATTATTGCTAGATAATGACAGTGTTAGGCTAATGTTTGTGCAGAACATTGTAACTTTATTACAAGCGTTTGTAGTCAATCCCTGTTTATTAAAAGCTATACTAATGATCTATGCATATAACTGGAGGGCATTTAAATAGAACCCTTTTATTTTACAGCCATACTGTAATCAGATGACAGGTTTCACAGTATTTCATTTCTCAGCTCCTGCTACAGGAAAGGCTTCCAAGAAATCCTTATCTCTGCAGAACTGCTGCGTGGAGACGGGGCACAGGGAGACCCAGGCGGGCTGCTACCTTGCCCATAGCGAGGGACACAGGGTCCCTCCTGCCAGGCCATTTTGAGCATCGAGATTTTATGACGCATCTGCTCAAACTACCAAGAATAGAAGCCCTAAAGGGGCTTATGTGGTACCCGGTGCTAGGTGGCTTTGGGGCAGGTTGGCAAGAAATCCAGTGAATAGTTGGGGAGCTGGTATGGTCGGAGCAACATCTTGGGAGGGGAAGTTTTGTTTATACAGAGCTCCTGTGTGTGTAGCAGCACAAACACGAGAGACCAGGAAAGATGTGCACGTGCAAATGCTCTCAAATTTGGGAAAAAAAAAAAAAAAAAAAAAAGTAATTAGCCCAGCCAGGCAGTGGAAAGGGCAAAAGCAGAATACAACTTAATCAGTAGAACATAATCCTCCCTACCAAAACCAGCAGAGAGTTAATGAAAAGAACAAATCAACCCTTGCCTTTCAAGGCTATTCCTTCAAGCACAGTGCAGATAAAGTGCTAAAGGTCACATATAAACAAATGCCAATATGCTTCAGACACATCTGAAGCAGGGTGAGTATTTGGACACTGATCTTGCTGCTGCCTCTCCTGGGAAAAGAGCCACTTTGACAAATGCTGGAGAAGCACCAGCTCCGTCAATCATGCCTGGAAACACTCCCCTAATAA